GAGAGAGAGAGAGAGAGAGAGTTTGAAAAACTGCCAGGCAACTTTCAACCCAGCAACGACCGTTCATTTACGTTTTTCCCCATTGTTTCCGTAACTAAACTGGGACACTGTCGTCCACTCGCGCGTCCGTTCACACACGGGCACCGTGTACGATTGAAAATTATCGCAGAACAAACTGAACAACAATTTTTCCCGCGAGACTTCGAAATTTTCGTAGAAATCGCGATAATTGATGCAGATTATCGGGGAAACGATTAATTAATCGAGCGAGCTCTTCGTTCTCGAGTGGGAGAGACCCCTGTTTCTCCTTCAATCAATTCAATTCACACATCGACGTGCAACATTTTTGATTCTCGACGTTGCCGAACCGAACCAACCTGTCCTCTGAGATCCACCGCTCAGAAATCAGTAACGCTGATTATCGATAGAATTTCGAATTTCATTATAAAACAAGTATTGCGAATGACACAGAGATAAAAATTACCGATATATTTCGGGCTTGAAACAAAATTGTCCGCAAACACGGCCTTCCTCGACCTTCAAAATCGCGATCTTGTAAATCAATGATAAGATGCATCCAAAATCGAAATCAATCATTATCGATAGAATTTCATTCTACTGCAGAGTATACGAAGAATACAAGGTATGAGCGACACAGAGATTACTGATATATTTCGTAGCGACGAATTTTTTTCTTCCCACGGCGTGGAAAATCGCGATTCCTATAAATATATCCGTCGCGTGTTTCGCGACGTCCCGTAACGCACGACCGTAACGGACGAATGTCTGTCTGTTTCAGAAATCAAGAACGCGTTAGACACGCAACTACAAGAGATCAAAGCGCAACTGGAAGGTAAATGCGATCTCCAATAAGCCTACCTACACCCTTGAAGCGGTCGGTATGGAGGGTGGCGCATCATGCGCTACCAGGGCCGCATCCGCCTCTTAGCCCCTACGACACCACGAGGAAGGGAACGAGCGAGATCTGACGTGTTATTGGAGAAGCGAAAGGAAAGAGCGATACGGGAAACTCACTACCAGCGTCGTCGTCGTCGTCGTCGTCGTCGTCGTCGTCGTACTCGTCGTCGTGTTGTTCGAGTTTAGATCGATTCGAGATTCGAATTGGCCAGTCGTCGCTTGGAGAGAGTGTCGAGGCGAGCGACAACCACTCGAGACACACCGCAAACCAACACCTCGGATTCTCCACGATCCTCGTCGAGGCTTTTCCACGAGGGTGCCACGCAGAACGATCACCGGGAACGGAATTTGGATCAATGATCGAGGACGGAAATTTCCCAGAGACGGAGAGATTCGCGTTCTATTAAGAATAGAACGCGTCGACGCCAACAACTCGAGTCGACGGGGGAACGAAACGAATATCGAGAGATGAACAGCATCGATGAACGTCAGTTGCTAATTGACCGGAGTGATCTTGGAAGTTGAAAGGGAGTGGAGAGTCTAAGACCTGGATGGTTGAGACGACGAACTCGGTTTGACGTATATATAGAAGGAATATCGAATCAGCGGATTGCGACCAGCCAACGTGATTTCAGAGAAGACGTACGAGAGACACTCCGCGTA